GACGGACAGACGGACAGGGCTATATCGACTCAGCTTGTCGTCCTGATCAAGAATATATATATTTTATGGGGTCTGCGATGATTCCTTCTGCCTGTTACTTTTCCCATTTTCAATGGGTTCAGGGTATATTGACGGTGCTTTACTCAAGTACCTTGAATGAGTATTGTGCAATTGGTGGCACCCGACCTCAACGCTTTTAATTGTTTTCATAAAACACTTGTGTATTTCGTCATCTTTAGTCGTGCTAATCTTATTTAAGTAATTTGCGCTGGTAAATAACACATATCTATAATGAATTTGATATGGATATACTTATTATATACTATACTATTTAAGCATATGTGCACATTATGTTACTCACCGACTTGGTCTTCACGCGTTTAATGTGAATTTTTCGCGGATGCTTTTCCCGTTCGCTGACTTTAAGCTGCAAGTTGAGTTAAATTGATTAGAGTGCCCCAGTGAATGCAGTATCAGAGCCTCGCTCTCACCTTTAAAGCCAGTAATAGTTGCTCCAGACTGACTGCATCGATTCGCTTTGTTTGCTCGCGCGCCCATTCGATGATTTGCTGCCGCAGGACATTGGCGTGTTCGTCCTGTTTATAGAGCGGCTGGAATATGTTTGTCTCATTGGCAGCCATATTCTCGTTGGCAATAACTGTTGAATGTAGAGGTGCATCGCATAAAAACTGTCTTTAAAATAAACTTGTCCAAAACCCACCTATGAAGCTCTGCTCGTTCTCCTCGTAGCTGCGCATGCGTGCCACGCCCCTGCTGAAGGCGCCTTCGGTGAACTGCACAGTTGATTCCTCGAATTTCCAGTCGTTGAGATTGTAAATTTTCACATCCTGCTTGCTGCAGGCCACAAATAACAGAAACTTTTCCGAAACTGAGTGCTGTACGTGAGACATTTCAATTCACGAGATGGAGAGATTATATTTATGTGTGTGTGTTAATAGTAGTTCTGACACTATATTATTCTATTTAATATAATATGTGTATTTGACTCTGCAACCACACTTTACTCTGAGACTATACACTTATATTATTCAATTTCCACTTTCATCTGATATTATATATATGTATATATAATGGTCAACCTCGCTTTTTTCTATTTGATATGACAACGATTTGATGCATATGTATTTACATTTAATATGATATATGTATTATTGACCCAGATCTTATGCTTTGGCTCGTCGAGCTTAGTTCACTCACCGTCACGGGCAAAAATCGTTCTAGCCCATAGAAACTCAGTCGCTGATAGGGCACGAATTCTCCTTTATCAAAGACATAGATCACCGTGTCTGCTTCACCAGCGCTGCCTACTGCTCCTGCGTCACCCACCGTATTGCCCATTATAAGGAAATGTCGGCGGCTCACTTCATTCACGGGCAGACTGAAGTACTTCACATCGACTGCTCCATTGGTGCGCAGGCGTTGGAAGAGCTGAAAGCGACGCGTTGCTGGCTCATATTTGTAGATCTCCGAGTGGGTTGAGGTGCGGCCATCTGGACTAGCATAGTTAGCCACCGCCACATAGTCCGCGTAGTCAATGCCAAAGGCCTCCAGGCGACGCGCGTTGCTGCAGGGGATGGCGCCCAGGCGCTGGAATGTGCCACTCGTCCACTTAAAGTAGGGACAGCTCGGCTGCCTCTTCGTGCCGCCCCCCTCGTAGGCCTGCAGCAGCGTCAGCTCCTGGCTGCTAATCCTCAGGTACATACCTCGCAAGTGCACTCCGGCAAAGTACTGCACCGTGCGCATGACTCGCTCCGGCGATAGCTCGTAGATGGGCGAACCATCGCGCGCCTGCATCACGGGCTCACTGTGGTTATAGCTGAGGGCTACATAGCCCAGACCCGCATATGCCAGGCAGTCCAGTGCCACAGCTTTGGGCGCCGGCTGCTGCAGCATCAGCTCATAGTCCTGCTCCGCCGCCCGCCACACGTACACAGCGAATTGGCGCACACCTGCTGCATCCTTGTGCAGTGCTGTGGCATACTTAACGCTGGGCAGCTGCAGCATGCAAATGTCCAGGGGAAACGGCACCGGCACAGAGGCGACTCGCTCAAGGCCGTTGAAACTATAGCCAGCTGACAGAATGATAGAGAAAGAGGGGGAGAGAGAGAGAGTTAAACATTGCGAAATAGATAAGAGGTGAAAATTGTATTGACTGAAAATAAGATAGATAGATGATAGCAGAACATGAAAACATGTATGGGTGTATGGGGAGATTGATAGGTAGATAACATATAGTTAATAGATGGAAAAGAGTAAATTGATAATGAATATATTTTAAGATAGGTAGATGGAAAAAGGTTGATAGTTACATTTGCGAAGAAAGGATTTTTAAAATATAATATAAGCAGGAAGATTGTCAGCAGAAATACAGAATATTGCCCTGACATGGAAAATCAGTTAAATCGGTAGACTCTTAGTTATAACTACAATCCGAAAATGATCTGTCAGTCACCAACTAAAGGTTCTATAAGCCTGGGCGCAAATATTATATTAGGACGTTCACTTGGGGTCCTTAAAATGTTTTGCATAAGTTCTGATATATATTGATATTCTATGCCTAACATTTGGAATGTATTCTTACGTTGAAAACTCAGAAAGTAGCTTTTAATTTAAAAACCGGAATTGTTTTGAAAAAATAAAAATACAGAAATATATTAACAATTGTGGGCGTGACAAAATAAGAATAATCTATAATTTGAAGTGATCTGGAGCTGCGTTTTGGTCGTGAATGCGTACTGGTCTTACATTCTTTAAATAGACTCTTTCTGAACTGAAATTTAAATTGACTTAATGGCCCTTTGAAAAGTGCAGCAACACTATAGAGATTTGTCCTTATATATTATAAAGCCCCGTATCTAAATTAATATGCAAGTATTATTTATTTTATATTAACTATATAAGAATATATAGACGCAGTTTTAAATTTTTAAATTGTTCAAAGTCGCTTTTAACTATATGTCTATATACTTTAATTTATATCTACATATATATGAATCTAAGATATATAATATGTTTAAATTACTATATATGAAATCGCATTAATGAATTGAGTTGAGCTTTAAGTATTTTGTGCCTTTCGACCTTAGAGTTGTTCGACGCTTCTCTATGTGCCGTAGTCAAGCTTATTATTTATACCAGTCGTCTAAAATATCTATTTGATTAAACGCCAGTATTTCCAGACAGCTTTGATAAAGTTTGCAGCAAGAGCTAAGCTGAGGCCGAGACTAAATCAAACAACTCTCTCTCAATTTCCGTTAGCCTTTGGCCATGGATTTGCAGGCCTATCGTCGCTGCATTGGCCAGCAGCTGGAGGAGTTAGATCTGCTGAGTTCCATTTACTGTGCGGCGGGTGAGCTGCAGTTGCTCGATGCTGGGGTCGTTGCTGACTTCAGCGAGTTTTTGCAGTCGGAGTCAGAGACGTCGTTGCGGTCCCACTTGGAGTACATCATCCGGCTGCCTGTGACTGCCAAGCAGTGCGTGGACGTGCGCATCGAGTTGCCGCATTTGTACCCGCAGCTGGAGCTGGCCAGGATTAGTGTGCACACCCCGCTGCTAGGCAAGATCAAGGAGCAGCACTTGAAGCTGCAGATTGATAAATATTTGCTGGAACAGCGCCAGGCAGAGGAGCCCTACATATTTCAGCTGCTCAGCTGGTTGCAAGAACAGATTGAAGCCCTGATGAGCTGCACGTCCAGCGAACTGGAGTCCCCGCCATCGGAGGAATCAAAGGATCCAAAAGGCATGCAGCTAGAACGGCTTTGGATATACTCGCATCATATCAAGTCGAGCGCCAAGCGGCAGGAGCTCATGCGTCAGGCACGGCAGCTGCAGCTCACCGGATTCAGCAGACCCGGCAAGCCGGGCATCATCTGCGTGGAGGGCGAGCCGGAAAACGTGCAGGAATATTGGCGCAGTATCAAGGCCCTGCGCTGGCAGAAGATTAGCCTGGTGCGCACCGAGCCGTGCCGCAAGCGCCGCTTCGAGCAATTCACTGAGCAACTGTTCAATTCGTCAGCCGCTGTCGGCGAGGAGGGCGTCATTAACATGGGCCAGTTCATTAGGTTTCTTGAGGATCATGGCACGGGCTACATGAAATCTGAGTTGTTTGGTTTAGCCTAAGCTTCTCGAATGGATCAAAATTCAACTGCAAATACTGTAAATAAATTCTGTTGTTTATATTTTCTAAAGGGATTAACCTTTGTCATAAAACTGTTGCATGTCGCGTTTGTGCAGCCGCTGCGACTCTGCGTCCAGGTCTGAGCCGATGCGATATCCAGGATAGCTCTCCCCGAAGAGCACCTCGAAGGCGTGCCCATGCTTCCACAACAGCCAGTGGAATAATAATAAAACTAAGCGGCACATTTAATTAGACAAAAATAAACACGTGTTTCGCCAAGCGAAACTTATGCTCAACTGAAGACCTTGAGCTTTTAGAACCGTTGGCAAAGCTCTCGCTGGTGCTCAATGAGTGTGAGAAGCACTGAATGAGCGCAATAGAGATCACTCGAAAGAGGAAGAGCGTGAGAGCTTAATTCATATTCGAAGGTCAATTGCAGCGCTCCATTACAATGCATAGGGGCAGACCCTTTATTACAGAGCTGCAGAAGATCTGCATTCTAATTTGAGAATGATTTAAATGGATCATGTTGAATAGTTTGGGGCTGAATGAGCGCCAGACATGGAGAGAGTGAGTGTAAAGAGGGAGAAAGGAAGAGTTGCAGAACACATAGAGAAACTTGTAATAGGAGACGCGAGGATAAAAGCAATAAATGAGATTTAAAAGAGACAAAGATGAAGTGAGAATGAGCGGCATTGACGCATGGAAACATCTAACGAAAGTGACAAAATAATAGAGACAAATTTTTTAAAGTAAATTTAATTACACATACCTGCAAGTGAAAGGTAAAATTAAGTAAGAATGGTACATTGGTTTTATGAAATTCTCGTTTAGATGTCCAAACGCCTATCCATGTAAACCCAACTAGCCAAGCTAGAAGTTTACAAAGTGTAGGGGCGAATACTATTACTGTTCGTAGCACTTGAAGTGTTCTATGGAGCCTGTAGTGATTGACTTGTTTGTTACTAGCCAAACTATAAGGTATTTTAAACAAAAATTGGTTTAAGCTTGACTTTATACAGGAATCATAGTCTATAAGGGGTATTTATTAAAGAATTCTTGGAAAAATATTTAAACAATTAATATTTAAGTAGTGGTATAACTGGTTAGAAAGGCCGGCATACTTTAAATAAATCCATCGCTATTAAGGCGTGTCACTAGAGACTCTTTGGCAATGGAAAGATTGTCACTAGTTTCCTCCAGATTTTTGGTTTCCTCAGCAGCTGATTGCGATATCTCCTGATTCAAGTTCTGCTCTGCCTTTACTACCGCACCCGTTCTGTTTTTCACAAAGTCGCAATAACAACAATTATGTCCGCCGTTCGCTGAGGCTGCCCGTCGGCGCTTCACCCAGCCGATTTGCGCATAGGCTCGCCTGAAGTTTTCATTGTTGAAGCCGTACACGATCGGGTTGACGGCCGCGTTGACAAACATCAGGTATTGCGAGAAGTACGAGAAGTATTGGGTGCCGCAGCCCACGCTCGCCGCCGTCTTGTAGTACTTCTCGCGCTGCACCACAAAAATAGTGAAGGGCAGGCGCAGTACCACAAACACCACAACCACTATGAAGAGCGTCTTAGCCACGCTTCGTTTATAGCTGACCGTGAGTGGATTTTCACGACTCAAAACACGCTTCTCATAGCGATCCAGCTGGGAAGTAGGTAAGGTGTTACAAGTTTCTTTACTGAACTTACAATGGGTAAAGGCCTATATGATGTATTCGAAAAACTATTGACTATCGAAATTATTGAATTTAATTAAATAATCTATTAGCTCACAGACTCGATTTATCTCAGTATATGCATAGACTCGATCCTGGAGTTCTTACCTTAATAAATATGGCCGTGTAGCAGATGAGCATGATGCTCAGCGGCAGCCAGACCAGCACCGTGATCAGCACATACCAGTACTTGGGCAGGACATTGGTGTTCTCCTTGCAGTAGCGCTCGGTGAAGTTGCGCCAGATGCGCACCCGATACTCCCGGTAGATGGCGAGGGGTAGTGCCAGCAGCAGACCCGTCAACCAGGTGCAGGCGATCACGATCTTGGCGCCGTGCTGCGTTAGTCGAGTTTCCTGGGGCAGAACAATGGCTGTGAGGCGATCGTAGCTGACCACTGAGAGGTTCAGCACGGCTGTGATCAGAAAGACAACGACGAGGAACCCCTCCAGCTTGCAGCCCACCCAGCCGAGCTGAAAGTTCTGATAGAAGTCGTTGATCAGGAACATAACGGGGCATATCAGCAGGGTTAGTAGGTCCGCCATTGCCATATTGGATATGATCAAATTCGTTGGCGATCTGAGCGCACGGTTCGTCGCAATAAGATAGATCAAGACGTAGTTGGCATACAAGCCAAATATAATCAGTGGCAAGAAGGAGCAAACTTTCCAAGCGATTTCCTCTATGGCCTTGTGCCGCCAAATACGCTCCGCTGGGAAGTCCCATTGACTAAAGTCGAACTGATGGAATGGATTGTGCACAAATTGTAATAGGCATAGGGAATTGGCCTGGATACAAAACTCACTTCAATACTGCTATAGTTATGTGCATCCATTTTTGTTCTTCGCCTGTCGACTCCTGCCGGGCAACTGACTTGTACAGCTGGCTGTAACATGCAAATTAACATGAACTTTTATTGATCCTGTCTAATTCACTTACTAATAGATAAGGCTATTAACACTTGTCACTGATACCGCGCACTAAAAGCATCCAAATTAGACGCTTTGACAATGTGTGTTGTCGTTGTTTACCTCTAGCAAAGCTCTTACTCAATTCTGATCAGCTGTCAATGTGACACTATCGCTCTATGCGCTTCTCACCAGAAACCTGTTTGCAGATTCACATCTCTATGCAATTCTCTGACAAATAGATAAATATATTAAAATAGATCTACACTCTAAATCGAATAAAGTTTATCTGATCTGTGTGACTTCAGAAATGAGCAAACAGTATTTTACAACTTAATTATATAGATTGGCTTTGACTTTGAGAAAAGTTTTGTTTTTGAAGGTCTTTGTGGTAGATAGATTATTTTAGCTTATGGGCTTATGGGCTTAATTATATTTATAATTATTCTAACAATACGCTTCTCACAATAGTTTTTCTGTAAGCTTTGTCATTCATGCTCTAATGCTGTTCTACCTTATACTGAAAACGCCGCCTTTTCCTTGTTCGCTATTCTAAATATGCTCTTATAGTTTCCATATTTATAGAGCACGATATACGACCCCAAGCAAATCCAATTCGTTTTCTAGCCTCCAGTAACTACTGCTTCAAGCACTGCTTTTAGATTTCAATTTGGCATTTAATTACAGTTAAAATTATGACAATTTCAGGGAGTTCCCCTCTAATTTCAATTTCAGTTCAATGTGAGCTAGTCTAATCGATGTCCAGTTTGCGGAAGGAGCCCTCAATCCCAAAGAGCGAGTCGGCTGTTAGACGTTTGCCCGGTCGCAGCTGTTCGTCAACGCCGTAATTGCTCTCCTCCTTCAAGTAATTGCTGTAGCTGAGCATATCCTGCTCCGTCTGTGCCACGATATCAGCAATACGCCCATTGCTACCTCCATACTCCTCTGGCATATATTCGCGTGGAATTATCTGAGAGAGTTCCTCCATATTCCTGTGCACATGGAACTGTCAAATAATTTTAAATCAAAATTTTCTCAGAATGTAAAAATTATATGAATAGATAGCAGCGTTAGGGTAAATTTGATTATTAAAATGAAAAACATAAAATAGTAACAAGAAGAAGATGTCGACGGTTGCCGATTACAGAATACTTCCCTATACTATTAAAATTGCTTAGTCTCTTAATAGGTAAAGGAGGCAGGGAGAGATTAGCACTTAATTAAACTAACTATTTTGTTGTCGTGCTCTACAAAATAATGATATTGTATTGTAATTATTTGTCTATATGTTACACCCTGAAGAGAAATATACGTGAATAAATACAAAATACAGTATTTATCTAATATACATTCAAATTTCAAGTCTGATTCAAATAGCGGAGAATAGAACACATAATAAATAAATAAATACATAAATTCTCGCACAAAATCTATATGCAAAAGTTCCCATTCAAATAAAAAAAATCCCCTCGAAATTTTCACCGTTGCTAATTTATGACCGTTGTTAAATCATTTCATAAAATAATTCGAGCGTGGTGATTCAGCGTATTGAACTTAGATGAAACCCCCTTCAAATATTCACAATCGAATCCCCGTTAAAATAGCTGTGAAAGCCATATTTATGCTCCATAATTTAAAAACGGTTTGCGATTCTATATGCCTTATCAAAGAAATTTCGGTTCCGAACAGCTGAACAAACTGTGATAAGCGCCTGATAATAATGGATTATCGAATAATGGTTTGTCAACAAAATAAAATTTAACCAAAGCTAAAGTACATATTGAAGTTGTACATGTGGCATGGAGAGATTGAGCAAAATTATTTCATTATTTCCTTTAAAATTTTTCTATTCAAAACCAGGCGATACTCTTAACTTTTTATGTACACCTATGTATATGTACATAGTAGATAATTTATGTATACACATTCATATACCCATCCATATATGTACATATTAATTTCTGTTTCCGATAAAATTGCTGAATCACATTTTACGAATGATATTAGCATTTATATGTAAATATCTGCAAATATGTTTCTTTTGAAAATTAGTACTACTACTATACTTAAGAAATGGAAAAAATGTATACGGACGGACAGACAGACTGATGGATGGACAAAGAGAAGCGACTCCCACCTCCTTCGCTCATTTTCACAAATATATACCCTGCTTTCCTTTCAATATGTACAGGGTATACAAATGATTAAATCATCGTTCAAATGGTGCACTTACTCGATTCTGTAGCTTGGCTGGCATGAGACTTTTGCCCAGATTGAGCACAGTGACCGCCTCCTTGGGGCAGTTGACCAAGTGAACGCCCTTTAGCCGGATGGGCGTTCCCTTATCGGCGAACACGCCCATTTTCTTGATGAGCGAAATGTCCATTTGGGCAACCAGGCTGAGACTCATCTTGGACATGTCGATTATTTCGATGGTGCCACTGATGACGGCGTTGTCATCCTCGCGCACCAGGTGCTCCAGCAGCGTCGTTTGATACCGGAACAGATCGATCAACTTAAAGCCGTTCGATTCGAAGTTCGAGTAGTCCGTCAACTGAATGCGCGGTCCACCGGGGCCAAAGGGCTTGGGCAGACGCACATATGTGCTGAAAGGAGTATATGGCAATGAACCTTCATTAAATGGAATTGAAAATTAATTACCCTGCACGACACACCGCAATGTTCCTCTCGTCCATTTGACGATTGGCGAACACCTCCGGCATCATGGTCTTCAGCGTGTAGAAGTAGTCCAGCTTGGACTTGGCCTTCTCCAGGCTGAATTTGCAGCCGCGTAGAAAGGCAACCAAGAACTGAGCATCCTGGCGTGCCTTCAGGTGCGGCTGCTTGGCTAGCCAATCCCGCAGAGCTTTCAGGTCGTCGGGCAAGCGCGATGGCACCTCGTTCAGCTCGGTTTCGGCGACTTGGCGCAACTCGGCGCTGATTGGACGTATCTCGGCCATAACCTGCTTCTATACGGATCTCAACCGTGCGTCGTGGCAACTGTGCAACTACTGAAATTGGGCAATTCTCCCCTTCTGGCCACTAATCAGTTGGCTCTAATCTTGCCATTTTATGGCTAATCATTCGGTACTCTCTGATAATGCCCGCCGCTAACGTCGAGTGGCTGAGCACTCTAGATGGTCGCCCTGCCCTCTCTTCTAATTGTTGATAAGATTACAGCTGTTGCTAGAAGATCTCGCTTGCTAATAGCTAATCATCAAAATCTTGCAGTCATGGGACGTATCGAATGAAAGTCGAGGAGAACTTGGATGGGGACAAATGCAGCTGTAAAAGTCGCATAGCAAAGTTCGTATTTGTTGATATCTGGCGGGTAATCGAACCATGCTACAGTTATATCTACTACAGGCTTATCTTATCTCTCAACTGTGCCTGCACAGTGGCACCAAAGTTCATATTTGCCATGCGAAATATAGGCATATACGTAATTCAAAACTGTTTCTTTGCTTTCTCCTCATTTTTCTTGTGAACCTTCAGTTCTCAAGAAACGACCAAGACTACGTATTTACTAAATATATATAAATTTGTATGACGAATAATATTAATTTACCGAGAACGAATAATACTTGTTTTGAGTATGAAATGAATCGATAAGAAAATGCTGAGAGAATTTCGGTCCACTGTGCATTGGTCACGTCTATATCGCGCCCATTGCTACTGCTGGCATAGGGTACACTTGTTTGCTCCAGGTCAAAACAAGGCAGCCATCGACTTAAATATTAGTTGTGTTTCAGCCCAGACGGAGCACACAAGTCCCACCACCAACACCCTCCCGGCCACCAGTACACATTGTCAATTTGCTTTGTTTCGATAACAAATTTGCAGATATCATACACTACTATGGCTGAGATTCGAGAGCTGGTGCCAGAGCTGGCGGAAGTGGCGCGCACTGAGCTAAACGAGGATCCGGCGAGCCGGGATGAGCTGATTGCGGCTCTGCGCGCGTGGATCGAAGAACAAAGCTATTTGGTGGCACGCACCGAAGATCAGTTCTTGGTTGCATTTCTGCGGTTCTGTCGCTGGGATCTGGAGGAGGCCAAGAAACGTGTGCTCTTCTTCTACAACTACAAGTCTAAGGAACGTGGCCTGCTCAAGAGTCGCTTCGTGGACGATAAACTGTTCGAGTTGGCTAGATCTGGGTGAGTCCGTCTCGAATTCGAAGTCGAAATCGAAATCAAAATCGAAATCGTAATCCAGAGATAGAGAGAGAGAGAGAGAAAAAATGATAGAGAATTAGAGAATAAGTTTCATTATCGTTTTATCAGCATATTCGCAACGCTACCTAATCCCATTGGTCCGGGTGGCCCACGTATACACTTCACACGCATGGGACACATAGAGACTTCCAAGCATAGTGTATCCGACATCTTTCGCTTCCATGCCTTCCGCGCTGAAATGGAGCTCAACTCCGATGATAACTGGAACATAGCTGGCGTTGTGGAGGTGATTGATTTCACCAAAATCCCCTATTCGCTGTTGCTGCAGTTCGACCCAAGCTTGTTCCGACGCATGAATTCCTTCCTCGAGCATGGCATTCCCACGAACCTGGTAGCCACGCACATCGTGAATGCATCGCGAGAAACACAGTTTGTGCTCACCATAATCCGCAATGTGATGAAACAGAAGGAGCTGGTACGTAGCCAGCGAAGAGCCATCGTTTGTAATTAGCTTCCCCTCTCATCGAGTCTATGTTTCTCTTCTTTCAGCTGCACATACATCCCAATCTGGAGTCGCTGTATAAGGCCATTGGCAAGGAGTACCTGCCGGTGGAGCTGGGCGGCAGTAATGGCTCCTTGAATGATGCTACGGCATTCTATGAGTCGCAGCTGAACAACTTTACGCCCTATTTTAAGGACGATGAGCGATACGGCGTCGACGAAAAGCTGCGCGCCGCCAGCGAAAAGGAGACGCGACCCACGCTGGTTGCCGCTGCTGCCAACGAGGACGGCACATTTCGCAAGCTGAACTTCGATTGAGGCCGAGGCTGGGACGATGATAGTGGCTAGTGTCTAATGGCTAATGCATGTGGCAGTGGCAGTTAGTTGTATATTCAAATGCACATACTATACACACCTCACTCTGTCTATATATGAATCCCTATATATTTATATATATATATATATATATATATATATATATATATATATATATGTATATGTGCATAACAAATAATAGATAAATTTAAATAATATTTTTGATATATGCGAATCAAATATAATAAATGTTTTATTTTTATGTCTTAAATTCCTCATTAATATTGTCCTCCTATTATAAGCAAAATATCCCTTA